TTTGTTCCACTTCTGGTGGTTATGAGATGCTTGGGTATTTCTTGGACCCAAGCGGTGGCTATTACTATTTTGGACTTGACCATTACGGGTACCCCTACCACGACCACGTCCTCGACGACGGTCGCCATGTGATGAGGTAGCATATGCCTCATGAGATGATGCCAAGGCAGCATTCACTTCATGGAATGGTGCAGATCGAGTTGGACGGGACTGATGGTTCTGCATCAGAAGCTCATTATTCTATTCAGCTAGAAGTAGACAAGATATGAGGTCTGAATACTTCTGGAAACCTCGCTCTCAATATTGTTGTTTCAAAACCACATTGGAGGCATGAAATGTGGTGAAAGTTTTCTCCAATAGGTCTGCATCAGTTATATTTTCTCCACAAAGTCGTAACTTGGAGCTAATTCTGAACAGAGCAGAATTATAGTCACCCACTGATTTGAAATCTTGGAGACGCAAGTGCATCCAATCATGGCGAGCCTTAGGAAGAATAACTGTCCTCTGATGGTCATATCTTTACTTGAGATTTCCCCAAAGGGCTAACGGATCCTTGATAGTAAGGTATTCACACTTCAAGCCTTCATGGATGTGGCGTCTGAGAAAAATCATGGCTTTCGCTTGATCCACAGAGGATGCCTCATTGGCTTCCTTAATGGTTTCCCCTAGGTTCATAGCCTCAAGATGAACCTCAGCATCATTGATCCATGAAAGGTAGTTCTTTCCGGAGATGTCAAGTGCAACAAATTCGAGCTTTGCCAAGTTCGACATTTTCTATATAAAAGAAAATGGAATGTGTTAGAGCTCAAGAAAAAATTGTTGATATCGTAAACATAAATATAATCACCAAAACTTCTGGTTTGGGATGTTTAGACAATTAGATTGAGGAACTTCATGCCTTCAATTATTTTGAATCACATAAACTTAGGTTCTAATTTGATAAAGGAACTTCAGGTCCTTATCTATTATGAGGATCGAGGAACTTTAGGCCCTGATCTCTTGTTGATAAAAAAAACTCATCATAACATATTGTGTCTAAATAAGATAAAAATAAAAACTGAAAAGGAGAAAAGAAAGAAAGAAAGAAAGAAAAATAATAATAATAATGATAATTGCATACTACTCGTGTTATTAGCTACAACATGCATGCCAACAAGTTTTCAATGAATAGTGGTCATATAACAATAACAACAACAACAACAAAAAAACTACATGTTCATGCATTCATTGGGGGATACTCTCGGCAATTTAAATCATGTCAAAAACATGTGATTTCACAAAAAAAATAGCCATCATCGAGTTTTGTATATAAAAGAAAATATATATATATGGATGAACTAAGCTATAGAGAAGAACATTACCAAGAGCTTTCATGCTGATAACGTGTTGTGAAACTAGGGAATTTGTAGGGAGAAATAAGAGGAAGAAAGAGACAGTATAATTTGCTCAAATCAACTTGTGTTTCATTCATATTTGGTGCCACTATTTATAGGAGTAGAGAGACCTAAATCACCTACCACCCATAATTAATAGGTTACAAATATATAATGATGGATATTATTGTGGGCATCTATAACCTATAAACCCATAACGTATGGATTTATAACAGGTATTTGGTAAACATCAAGAATCAGCTTTTTTTAAAAATTGTGGTCAATGACCGCCGTTTTTTTCAAAGTAGGGATAGCCTAGCTTTCAAAAGCTGCTTTAAAAAAGAAATTTACTATTGGTTTCAATGAATGTTTTACTTTCCCATAATGCCCTCACTTATTTTTCAAATGGACAGTCCTTGTCCCTCCAATACACATCGAGCGACACAAACTCCTCTTCTTCTCCATTCTGTGAACTTGCCTATTCTTCTTCATTCTTGACAGCATTTGCCCTGAATTTCTCGGAATACGTGACGAACCTTATGGTTTTTCTCTTTTTCCGACATCAAACCGATGCCGGGCCCACTTACTAACAACATCCTCTTCTTTGAAAACAAAGGAAAAGAGGCTTGAGACTTTCTACCGAAATTTCAGAAGAGTCTCCTTCGATTTCTGATCTGAAAGTTCCTACGGGTTCAACAAAGTTTACTAAACACGTCATGCAAGTTTGGTCCAGATCAAGCAGTCGAATTGCTCTCGATCACACGATCGGACGGTCACGATTTTACGAAATCTTTGAATCATTGATTCGGAGTATCCAAGACTCCGATTCTTGATTCGTGAGTTCCTACACAATCCTAGAGGTATCTAGATAAACATATTTGGAAATGAAGCTGATCCAACGATCCAAACATATCGAACCTGGATATCGCCTAGTATTCGTAAATCCGTTTGACTGTCAAACGATAACCAAATTCGAATCCGAGCATACCGCCGTGCTCAGGACGACATGAGGAACATTTTAGGAAAAAATGGGCCACCACCCCTTAGCCCACGCACCTGCAGCGTGTGGGTATCTTGAGAAAATTTTGGTGACTTGAAAATTCTCAAAACACCCGACAATACCTATACCTACTTGATCAGGACAACTAGGGGAGCAACTTTTGTCCTTGGACCAAGGCCAAAAACTAACCGGAAGTTTTCCCTTCAAGACCCGACGCGATCGGTTGTCCTAGAGCTCCAATTGATGATGCAAAGTTCTAGGTTTTCTGATGAGCAAACCCACCGTTTGAGGTCATTAACGGTTGAATTATACTTTGACCCAAGGTATAAAGTTACTCCCTTTGTCGTGCTTGTTCTTTTGGTATAGGGATCGACCGATGATTTGGAGTTTTCCGATCGGTGAAAAATCACTCAAGACACCCATCGTGGGTGGTGGCGCGTGTGCGAGGTGTCGATTACTTGCTTGGACAGAGAATGACCTCATGTCATCCCGAGCTTGACAGTATGCTTGGATTATCGAGGATTCCACTATTTGGTCAACGAACAAACTTTCGCCTAGTATGTGTTGTTGGGTATGAAGTGATCGGACCATCGGATTGGTCTCGTTTTGAGAAGTGTTGTTCCCCGTGTTGTTGGGATCATGTAGGAACTTTTGGATCGAATATTAGAGGTTGTGAACCCCGTGGGCCCGATTACCATAGGGATAGACCTTGTTGAATCGGTTGTCCAAAAACCCCTTCGAGACCGTTTTGACCTTAGGAACACTTGAAAAGGCCTATAAACATAAACACAATTTGCTAGTATAAGCATTGTTTATAGGGCTTCTTAGATCTAGGTCCAAAACGATTAGTTGTCATTGGGTCTAGTCCTCGCGTTTTTTGTTTTAGATGTAGGTCCTTTGACATTTATTACTTTTTTGTTGTGTCGATTTTACCCTTTAAGATAAATAAGGAAAACACATTGAAAATCTAAATTTAATGCATTATTTCCTTGTAATTGAATTCTAGAATTTGAATTGTTGAATTTTTTTCCTTGATAATATTCCTAATATATAGATAAAATACAATTTAATCAATAAAAAGTAAAGACTCACATATTATACCAATCGATTAGACAAGCACCCACATTAAATTATGTACCTGACATACAGGTAAATAATGTTAATACATACAGGTATATATGTACCTACCTTACAGGTAAGTGTTTTTTTCTTGAGTTTTCTTAAGCAGTTTTTTCTGGAGCTTCATATTTATATACATACGTACATGTCTTCCATGTAATAGTATTTTTTTTTTTAAAAAAATTCCAAAGAAATTTTGTATGGATTTTTATCTCAATTGATCAGTTGAGTTTAAAGATCCATACCAAGATATTATATGAGTTCAATTAGCTGGGCTAGAGGGTAGAACTACCTAGACTAGAGGTAATTTATGGATTTAATTACCTGAACCAGAGGTAATTTATGGGTTTAATTACCTGCATACTGCATACGAGGTGTATGCATAGGTACCTTACCTATTGTTAAGGTATGAAGTTTTTATGAACTCTTATTACAAATTTTGATGTCGGTATACCTTGGTAAAATTTCAGAATTCAATAAATAGATTTGCAATTAAATTCAAATCAAATATGATAATTGATATCCTACAAATCAATAACTTACCAGTTTTATGAATTCATAATTTACCTTATTTATGTTTTAGGTGCATAACTGGAACAAAAAATAATAAATAAATAAAAGTAAATATTAATAAATTGAAAAAGGCATGTAATCTTATGTGGCGCAGAAGTCAAAGGACTTGGATCAACAACAATTTCTGCGTGGATTGCACCCAAAATCTCTCCTCATAATTGGACTTATGCCAAATTTTCTATTGTTTATATCAGCCAGAACGACCATGCAAGGCATGATGAGGCTGACCGTTGTTCATGTAATCCCTTCCCAAACAGCGACTTGTATCCATATATATATCCTTCAATTGAAGGATCCCTCAAATAGTGCTATTTGAGGGATGGGGCACTCAATTGTTGGATCTGTTTTAATGACCTTGTGTGGCTGAGATTGAATTACATCTTTTAACCCCTTTTCACACTACTAACCCACCACAAACTCCACTTATGCTTGGGAACGACGTACGCTGGGAAACCAAACGTCTCTCTTCTTCCTCCAACACTTGGAGACCTATCACGCATACCAAATGACCCAACGTGAAGAAGAAGACTCACCATCATTAGTTGAAGAAGAAGACCCAATGTGAACTAGTTGTTGAGTTCGTGAGATTTTGGTGATAAACGGGTATGGTATCCTGAGTTTTGATATATATTTTAAGAACTCATCAACAATTCTACAACTCTTTTTTTATTGAGTACTATAGTTTTGTAATTTTCCATCAAACTCGTGCTTTCAATGCTCCATTGAACATGGTTTGTGTTGCTTGTGATTCTTGGCTACTTATTATTTATTTTTTTGGAGTACTATAGTTTTGTAGTTTTCCATTAAACTCGTGCTTTCAATGCTTCATTCAACATGGTTTGTGTTTCTTGTGATTCTTGGTTATTGATTAATCTAGTTGGGGTTTCCCATAAGGTAATTGATCTTCACTTACATAATATATTTGCGATAGAGTGGGTTTTCATGTCTTTTTCTTTTTTTTTTTCTTAATCTAGTCTTTTGGATTAACGGAAAAAAGAAAAGACAAGAAAACATAATTTCATGCATATAATATATTTTTTATCTACTCTTAATTGATATTTGAGAAGAAAAAACAGAATGTCATATATATGTCCATGTTTTGTGATTAAAGCGTATATGTGCATGTTCTATGGTTAAACAGATTTGCTCACTTGTTCTTCAACTATGGAAGCTAATAATGACATATTAGTTCACATGGAAACTGATTCGGAAACAAATCATTTCGTATCAATTTTCTATCCTTAAGTAATTGGTGAGCTCACTCCCTTCCAAGGTCAACAATTTGAAACATTAGAAGAAGTGTATGAATTTTACAATCAGTATGCAAGGGAAGCTGGGTTTAGTGTTTGATCATACTCTAGTAAGAAGAGTAAAGACGGAGAGGTCATACGGAAGGAGTACGTTTGCAATAAAGAGGGAAGTTGGTCAATTGAAACAAGCGATGTTGTAAAAAGGCGTCGTAGAGTAGGCAGAGAGTCTTGTAAGATGCGGCTAATAGTTGTTAAATCAAAATATGGTGGATACGTAGTCACCATATTTGAAGAGGCTCATACTCATCCAATGACAACCCCGCGAAGGGCCACTTATTAAAGTCTCATCGTTGAATTTCTGGTGTTGATCAATTTGTAGCACAACAACTAATATCTGAAAATGTATCCACACACCAACAATATGACATTCTAGGAAAGGAAGCAGGAGGCATTGAA